CTCTAAGCAAGGATCCCTTTAGGCTCGCATCTCGACTGAATAAAATTCACTAGTCAAAAAAGCAACACTGGTGTACTTTTTCCTTTTTTTTCTAATTGTCAGTCATAATTGGTCTCGTAAACAGATCTAAAGAAAGCACTACTGAAAGTTCTTGGACATTATATGATAACAGAGATAACAGGTGATGGCAGTGGTGATGAAAATTTAGGAAAAATCTTTAACATTATAATTACTATTATTATCAATGTAATTAACGTTGTCATAACTACCGTTCTTACCATTATTATTGCACTTCTTGTCGTTGCTCTTGTTAACAGTATTATTATAATTAATAATAGAAATAACAACAATAATGATAATAATACTTCCATAGCTTTCTCCATGTTGTACCTAAAAGTATTCGTAAAGTAGAATATTCAATATCTTGTCGAGGTATGGATCCCTCCCCCCTTAATAAAAAAAATATTAACAAATAAAAGATGAATTGATGAAACTCTCAGTATTTGCCACTTCTGTTTCCATTTACACCCTCGAGGAAGAGTCAAGAAACATCAGCAGCAAAGGAAGAAGAACAGATCCCTTTCTTACGCCCTAATCCTCCGCATAATGGTAACTTGTCCGTTATATGGTTTATTCCCGTGAAAGGTTCGTTATTGAGGAAGAGTTTAGTGAATCGGTGTTAAAAGTAAAACCAAAAAAAAAGAGGAAAAAACAAATTATGTTTGCCGGGCGGTTGACCTGAATTGCTGTGAAAACGATGCCAGTCCTTTTAACGTGTTTTATGACTTTTGATATAATGCTACAGTCGAATTAGCAGATTTCTGATGAAATGTATACTGTAGATTTCAACTACATGTATTTTCTAACTATTCGCATAGTTGATATTTTACATCAATGGTTGCTGATTCGAATTCTTGCCAAGATTGAACTTTTTTTCAAAATTTCAGTTTACAAGTTTGAAAATGTCTAAGGAAATCTTACCGTTATTCTTTATAATACTTTAGGTTGTCAATATTCTTTGGGTTATTTTAAAAGTTTGTTTTGTGAAAAACACCGAGCTTACAAGTCATTACATATATTTATAATGATGTTGAGATGTGATGATAATAATAAGAATACTAGCCATTAGAAAAAAGAAAAAAACTTACTGGTACTGGTGATAGTGATGCTAATAAAGATGATATTGAAAGTGAATATTAGTATGACAAGGAGAGCAACTGTAACGTGAAGGTTGGTAATGATGGTAATGATAATTTATCAGGGAGTATTATTATGACATCTTATGTATATGGGTACATGATGGCAATACAGATCGTTTTATTTTATCTATCGCAGTTTTAGCCATCAGCACTTTCTGTTTGACTGCCTAAACTCTCGTCTTTGTACTGGACTTTTATTGGTGATTGTGCAAAGCTGCGCGAGATTCTTTGTTGTCTCACTGTCCGGAAGAAAAGCTTCTGTTCCTCACTAAAACGTCTGATATTTGTTAATTATTATCTTTCTCTCTCTCCCTATCTCTTTCTTTCTCTCACTCGCTCGCTCTCTCTTTCTTTCTCTCTCTCGCTATCTTTTCTTTCTCTCTCCCTCTCGCTATCTTTTCTCTTTCTCTCTCTTTCTTTCCTCTCGCTCGCTGGCTCTCTTTCTTTCGAAGATAAGTGCTATTGATTTTTCACAGTATAATGAAGATGTTAAAATGGAAAGTCCATACAGCGCATACTAACTGCTAAGCTTAAGCTGGAGTGAACTATAAGGTTTTCAGTAATAAAATATCAGTAATGTTGATAAAAGATATAGGTTTATTTTCATTGTCAGTGTATCTCTTTGACTGTCAAGAATCGGCATGACAGTATCGACGATGGCAGACGTCCGTCCGCTGCGCTCTGGCCTGTTCCCTAGGAGCGCCCTGGGGCCTGTGCTTAGTGTCCGTAGCCGTAGGGGTTGTTGCCCTTGGCCTTGGCCAGGGCCTTGGATGCCGCGGCCTCGGCCTGGGCCGCCGCCTGCTGCGCCGACTGCAGGTCCTTGAGAGCCAGAGTCTGCTGCTGCTCGAGGGCGTTGGCGGTCTGTTGCGCTTGCCAGGCCATGGCGGCCTGCGAGGCGCGCACGCGGCGGGCGGCCTGCAGCGCCTGCCCCGTCTGCGCCACGACGGCCCGCGCCTCGTTCTCGGCGGCGCTGATGTCGTTGAGCGTGGCCACCGCTAGGTTGTAGGTGTTCTCGGCCTCCTGTTCGGCCTGCGCGGCCTGCGCCGTGAGGGAAGCCTCGGCGTAGGAGGCAGCCTGGGCGCCCTGCAGAGCCACGGTGACCTGGGCGGCCTGCGCCTGCTTGCCTGCTGCCGCTGCCTGAGCAGTCTGGGCGGCGGCCGACGACACGGAAGCGGCCTGGCTGGCGGCCGCTCCGTAGGCGGCGTTGGCGGCGCCGGAGAGGCCGGCGGCGGCGGCCGTGGCCTGTGCGGCGGCCTCGTTGGCGACGTCGGCGGCGCTGGGGCCGTGGCCGCCCCCGCCGCCGGCGCCGACGATCAGGTAGCCTCCGCCGCCGCTGCTGTAGCCTCCGCCCACGCCAGCGCCGTGGCCTCCTCCGTAGCCGCCGCCATAACCGCCGATAAAACCACGCTTTTCCTTGAAAAAAAAAAAATATATATATATAAATAAATAAATAAAGGTGAATCTCATGTTATACATTAAAAAGTACGCTCATCACCATTTTTTCACGGAATATCCATACAGACACGTGCAAGGCCTTACCCGAATGGTTTCGTCAGCCACTGCCAAGCCTGTGGAAAAGAGAGCATCATTAGTGATGTTGGCTCGAGAAAAAAAAATCTTAGTTATCTGGTGAATGACCAGAGCCTCCACATGAACCATAAATCAAGTAATATCAAGAGCTGAGCAAATAGAGCACGAGAGGTTTTACCCAAACAGAGAGCGACGAGGAAAGTTTTAGCAGCAGCCATTGTGTGGAAGGTTCGATGTGGACTGTGGCAAGACCTTTTTTTCCACCTGCCTATATACCCGTCTCCTCCACCTGGAACACATGACGTCACTCTCCGATCGTCTTTTGTTTTGCTCTGGGATTCAACACTCTCTCCGGTCTTTTGCACAAAACTGCAATTGAAGTTTCGATCCTTTGAAAAGTCGACGATTGGTCCGAAAGCAGTCATTTGTTTGACGGAATGTTTCCGATGTCATTCATGCACTTATACTCTTCTGGAACCAAATGAATGAATAAACAGATAAATCAGATAAAAAAACGACAATCCGGAACGCGAAAAGAACGCTTGATATTGCAAAAGCGAAAAATGGAACCAATGTTAAGTCTAAGACAGAAAGCATTAAAATTGGACTTACAGTCATGGAAAAATCACACAGTCACAAGGAAAAAAGGAAACCTTCAAACGAAACACAAAAGTCTACTACGTTTTGATATTAATTATTAACGCGTTCAAGAGTTTAATTTTATTTTAATTTTTATTCATATATTTTCGTTTTTAATCATACCGAGTGGTTTCAAGAGTCACTTATCACAAAACAGAGCACTTCATTCATAAATGCATAGCTCTTGAATGGGTGACGTAGGTGACCGGTCCCACACGATAAGAATATTATGCAAGTTTTCTCTAGACTTCTGTAAGACTAGATCAGATAGACAGATAGATAGGCCGGATCTTTGTTGTAATTAAAGGTTCTCGAAACGGATTCAAAGATAAACATGAATAGCATGAACAAGACATATTTCGCACACACAAAAAAACATGAACCAAACATATTTCAGCAGTAACAAAAAACATGAACCAGACATGTCTCATCACCAATAAAAGAACTCATGAACCAGACATGTTTCAGCATTAATAACAGAACACATGAACCAGACATGTTTCAGCAGAATAGACGTAAGACCCTCCAGGCCAAGATCTACCTACCTTGTTCTGGTTCTTGTATCTATGAATGTTTAATAAGGTGAAGACCTATATGGCTCATCTTTGCAGATTTGGAGAATATATGCATAGGATCAAGCAGTTGCTGTAGAGTGATGCTATGAACAGAGAGAACCAAAGGTATAAAATCAGAGACGCATACGAGTGAGAGAATATTCACACTCACACGTACACACACATAGTCACACGCACACGTACCCACACCCGCGTACACATCAACGTGATCTATATCTTAATTAGAGTCTTCATTATCGTCGCGATCCGCATCATTAGCTTGATTATAATCATCATTATCTTTATTCCTATCTTCATTATCATCAGTATCCTCCCCCCTTCCTCCTGATTGTTACTAACATTATCGTCATCACCATTATCACTATATTCATCAAAGCTTCTATTTTTATCACTACATTCATCAACTTTTCTATCATTACCACTATATTCATTAACATTTCTATCATTACCACTATCATGCCCAACACCCAATATACATAAAAAAAAACGAAAATCAGTCAAACCTCTTCCCTGAAAATTCCCTCTGATGTCGCGACTTTCACCCGTTCTTTTCACCTTCGTGTCACGTGACCAGCCAGAATAAAACGTTTCTGTCTCTTCCGTTTTCCGAAAGTGCGGTTTGATGAGAAAACGTTTTGGCGAAATAGCTTATGGTGCGACGGTCTGGTTTGGTTAGGGAAGGTAAAAGAGTACTGGATTGTGATTTGTATTGCCAGAGGATTGTCTTTATCGACTTATTAAGAATACGCACACTGTCGATTTATCTCTTCCTCTTTACTCGCTCTCTCTCACTCTCTCTGTTTGCTTGTCTCCTGTCTGTCAGATGAAAATAGTCTGTCTGTTTCTTTCTTTCTCCTCTCTTTCTCACTCTCTTACCTGTCTGTTGGAAGGAGACAGACTATCTGTCTCTCTCTCTCTCCTTGTCTATCAGAAAAAGACTCTCTGTACGTCTCTACCCCCCCCCCCCCTCTTTCTGACACTCTCTGTGTCTGTCTTTTTCTATGTCTGTCTGTGTAGCTATCTAGTTATCAGTCTATACGTATATCTACATATCTTA